ATGTGGATAATGCGAGGAAAGTATAACAACAGATGCCCAGGAGTAATTTCAATCACGTACAAACCATTCTATTTTCGTTTCCCGACAAACAATCCCTTGTTTTACGAACAAAAATTCTGTAAAAGTATTCACATATATAACAAACACGCGCATGCGGGGAACAAATTTATAATAAAAATGCTATAAAAGCGAGCGCGAAAATAAATCTTCGATCACGAGTTACGAAATTCAACGAGGAGAAGCATTCTGCAGATTTTATCATATTTATATCACTGAGAGACTTTATCCCCGAGGAGCACTTGTCAATATTTAATTTATTTAAAAACAAAAGTATAAAGTCCAAGTTGGGACAGATGCCATTTGAAGTAACGTTTTTTACAGAAGCGTGTTGACGAGCTAAGGGAAGATTCAATATCCCGAGAAAGCGATTTGGCCAGCGAAATATGTGCGCACATTTCCATAAAATGAAAGTATCGTCGCTAGAGGTGAGTCAAAGGCATTCGCAAGATTCAAGCCATTCGCATCAAGCCATTAGCGACTATACACTTTTAACGAACCCAAGGGAGAATATGTCTGCAGTATTTTTTTTTTCGCATTAACTAAATATATGATGTTGCTATATATCTTAACAGCAAGACAGAATTGTGCTTCGCATATTATTGTTAGCTGTTTTAAATTTAAACCGTTGGAAAGATATTACATATCGATTAGCATCGCGACTTTATTTAGTATTTGAAATACATCTTCTATATTAAGAACTTCCTATATATCCTTGCAACTTGAACGCGGAAAAACGAAGATTTACTTGAAACTATACTATCGGAGACATTATATTTCACGAAGCTCCATGATGACGCTTTACGAAGAAATGTTATAAAGTCGGTTTATATGAAAACCTCTATAAATGGTGCGATAGCGAAGTTAAAAGACCGGATATAATAGGGAACATTTGTAGATTATATTCTTTAGAGATAAATGTCGAGGAAATACGCGCAGGTAGAGACATGATAAGACGTCCATCGCTCAGCAACAAGAACTGCAATATGTCGAAGCGGCCGAAATGAACTCTACATGACTATGCTAATTATAGAAATGTGTATTCGTGCGAGTTCGCGCCTTAACTTCTCTAATGCGTAGAGCCAGACAAGATTTATGACGATAATTACGACGTTACGGTCTGACGTGGGCCGATCGATCATGAATCGTGACACGCGAGACAACTTGATGCATATTTACTTAAGCATGTTCAAACGAGACGATGTGACTATATCGAGTCTGTTGCTGCTCAGCTTTCTCTCAATCTTAATGTGCGTCGCGCATTAAGCCGTGACGTGTAAAAAAAAGAGATTGACGGATTTGCAGGAGATTAAGGATCTCGTTTTATAACATCGGCTCTGATGCTGACAATGCGATATTCTTTAATATTTTTAAACGGTTTTCAATCTACGTCAATTTTGTCTCTATCTTTTGTTTTTGCAACAAAAAGTTTTTAAACTTTTTTTTTAAAGAAAAGATGCAAAATGTAGTAATCTTTTTTTTTTGCATAATGTATGATCATTAAGAGACAGCTACGTCGTCTAATCAGATTTATGTTTATTTATAAATATATTTCTAAGAGTTCTTAACGTCATTTCTAATTATTTTACTATTGTAATTGTTAAAATAAATCGTTGAAAAGTATCGTTAACATCTTCAAATGTCCTGGAAATTTAAAGTAATCTACATGTAACATTTTTTGTGTCCTTTTTAGGAGACGCAACGCATTCTAAAACACAGCAAGTCGAGATATAATAACTTGAAGCATGCTCAAGTCATACATGCCAAAACTGTAAAATAGCTGCTTTTATCATTCCAATTTCCTTTTTACTTGTATGCACAAGAGTATTATAGTCAGTACATTCTCTCAGAAATACTTGTATAAAATCTGATCTAATGGCATTCATACTTTGAATGCAGCTATTATAATGGTCGTAAAGAAAGTATGGCATGACGCTAATTTGAATTCTAATATCATACTTTCTAATTCTACCTGTGCATTTCCATTTTATCATAAACGTGCTATTGTTTTCTATTTGTTTCTCTTCAAATGGTACTGAGAAATCTAGAAGGGAAATCTTCAATTGTTCGTATTAAGCATGAAATTGCTTACAAGCTAAAGTACTATCAAACTACGCTCACATAGCGTATTGCTGCATTTATATTCAAATTCTATGTATGTACTACATTTCTTATTTTTCATATTGTGATAATGATAATTAATATTATATTTTTATTTAATTTATTTTTATAGAGTTACTTTACTAATAATTACTGAATAATTGATTTATTATTTTGCAATTATATATTATTGAAAATATTAGTTTTATAAACCAGTTCTCATGCAAGACGACTATCTCACACATATTTTAATATTTTAATTATTTTGATAATATCAGTCGAATGTATAGCATATAAATGAACAAATTCAGCTCTCTAAAATAAATGGAAAATGTAAGAAAAAGTATTTCTAATCTATAAAAATATTCCCTATATTCTATATTTTATTTTTATATATGTTTATGATATGAATCTGAATCCCTTATTACAATTCAAGTAGATATGTATTTATTGAGAAAAAAATTTTCTTTGGTAAATATACCATATACATTGAGTTATAATAAATATATAGTTAAACATCTCTCTCTCTCCCTCTCTCTCTCTCTCTCTCTCTCTCTTTCTTAGCAAAACAATGAGATATATTCCTTCCGGCGGAAGCAGAAAGACAAGAAAAAAATTACCACAAAGGGTTGTATGCGCGGCTGCACCCCACAATAAGAAATGACGCAGAAAATGAAAAGTAAAAAAAAGATACAATGATGAAGTATTATACATATTTCGTATAATGTGCTATGTGATAAAAGAAACCGAGGTAATGAAGATGAAGCTATGATTACTTTTTTCTAGCAGAAAATTTTTACAGAAGAAGCTATGTGAAATTAATGCATATGAAATATCATTTGTAAATGTTACTTATTATTAGAAACAAACATGTTCTATTTACTATGGAGCGTTGATTATTTTTTACAAAAATTATTGTATTATATATTTATATTATTATAAAATACATGAGATAAAAGAAAAAATTAGGTGGAATATAAATATATTCCACCTAAATCAGCCTAAAACATAAACAAATAAATTGTTAATAAAACCCAAATTACGATTTTCTTAATAAGACCCAAATTACGAGTCTCTATAAAATCTTATTTTCCATCAAGTTCGAGATCAATTATCGAAGCACACCGAAAATCTTAGTTATTATCAAGAAAATGAAAATCAAATATTTCTTAAACTTTACTTTCGCTTTTCCGAGAAGCATTAATTAAAAAGAAAAGAAAAAGTGGAAAACTTCCTTGCTTAGTGATATCTTTATGATTACAGATATACCTATAAAAAGTTTTTTTACATGTTTTGTAAAGATTCACTAATTTCAAATATTCATTCATTTTCAATGTCTGTCCTGTTATTTCTCTGAATATTTCGAGCTTTAATAATTCCCGAAAAAATTTTAATTATTAATGAAAGTAATTTTCTTTTTATAATTTTATTTTTATATTTATATTTCCTATTCTTACAAAAATGTTTACATATATATAAATTATATTTATTTTATAAATAAATGTTGAAGAAAGTTTCATAAAAGTTAATTTTAAAAAATAATAATTAAATAAATAAATATATATATATATATACATATATATATATATATATATTTATATATATACATAAATTGAGCGCAAATTATAACTAACTTTACTAAAAAAATTACTAAAATTTACAACTTATGTAATTTATACTATATTTTCATATAAAAATGCAAAAAATGTTTATTAAAAATAAAATAAGCTTTTCCACTTATATTTTTTTATTTTATTACATTTAAACTTATATATTCTTTATCTTTATTTCTCTCTAAACATGTAACTATTACTAATTTAAAGCTTTCTTTTTAATTGCAAATTGTGATTTTAATTGTGAATTAATTTTATACTTTTTATTAATTAAATTTATAACATTAAATATTTTATTTGTCTATTTAGATAATCATTATGTAAATTTATGTTTTTATATTCATTCACAGCTCGGATATAATATGCTTACAATATATAAATATTAAATATGTAAATAGAAATAAAATATGCAAGTACTAAAATGCAAGAGCAGAGAAAATATTTAATTTTTACTTTCTTTATAATATATATATATTTCTCCTAAAATAATATGCCACAATATTGATGTTTTTTATTTTTTGAAATAATTATTTGCAAAAGCAAATATTTTTTTAAATCCTAAAGTAAATAAAAACCAAATTATTTTGGAGCTAAAAAATATATAATCTTAAAAAAAAACAATAACATTTTATTTTTTTATATTAGTATGCTAATAATTTGAAGAATAATTTTAATTTAATATTATTTTATAAATAATTGAGCAAATAATTATTAAGAAAGTAATGTTTAATATTTATTAACTATACTCTCGTTGGCGATAGGATATTATATCTAATTTGAATAATCTTTAACAATTTTTAGGATTGTCCATTTATTTTTTTTAAATAAATGGACTTATTCGGTACATTTAAAAAAAAAACTGTCGCCTATATACTCTTAAAACGTATTCCAACATGTATATATATATATATATATATATATATATATATATATATATATATAGAACGCACATATGTATCTTTTCATATTTTCCTGCGCGCCACAACGCGTGCATCGGTATTTTCCAAAGTAAAAATAGGAAATGATAAGTGACATCAAAAGGAGCGGAAAAATGCTCGCAAACTAATAAAGTATCCTTGCTTTGAAATTCAGTAATGCAACTATCCATTGCGCGGCGGGAAATGGCGGTTTTGGTCGAAAAATTTGAATTTTAAATTCGCATGCATGTAGCACGCGCGCGACACGCTTTCTCACATGCTATCAAGACCACACGTTCGTTTATCCCTTTACCTCACAGCATCCTGTCGTGCGTGACAAGCCTGTCATGCGGTATTTGATAACTTCCTTCATGCGTTTGCTCGGACACGTTCCTCTTTGAACAACGCTCGCAGAGCTCGGGAAGCGCGCAATGAAATAACATACGGATGTAGAACGTCCGCGAGAGACGATGATGAGAAAATCGCGAGAGATGCGATAGTGTCACGTGCGCGAATTTGCCAGGAACCAGAAGTAACATATATGAGCAACGTGACTGTGTGCGTGGTGCAAATAAAGCGCGAGTTTGCCAGGACCAACGAGAAAAAAAAACGTGTCGTCGCGAGATGAACACGCACTGCTCGAAGGATGAGACGCGGCACTCACAGCCGTGACTACTTTGGCGTCGCGGCGCCGGCGACGACGACGACGACTACTACGACAATGACGACGTCGACGTCGACGCGTGCTACTACTAGCGACCGGTAGTTAAGGGGTAAAAGGGGAAATGCAAAGGGGATGCGCGCATGCGTGTCTCTTCTCTCTCTCACGTCCGATTAAACGCAGGCTTCTTCCACGTTGCAGCCACCCCCGCGACGAAGAGATTCCTATTCCATCTCGAATTATTATCGCGATCCTGCAAGCGAAAGCTTGTCGGAGAATTCTTTTGATGGGAAATTGTGAATCTCTTTAAACTGTCCTTCTCATGATCGTGCATACCTTTCCGATTCGCGAAGCGTTCGTAGATATAAAAGTGAAAATATATCAAACTATTGTATTTTAGAATAGTTCTGCTGTGTTACATTAAACTTAAATTATGTAACACAAGTTTCATTGGAGAAAGAATAGATTGCTGCAATACATTGAATTATGATGTCTCATTGATATATAAATAAAGTGAATTAATTGTACTGACAAATGAATTAGATACATGTGAATATAGAACCAATTAGAAAATAAATAAAGAATAAATTTACTACTATTTTTATATATCATGCATTGTAATACTTTTATATATTACGATCTTCAATATATTTTTAGTTAAATGCAGTTTAATTTTATAAAGTTAATTAAAATCGCTGATGATGTATAAATAAAATATAGTATTAATTGTGCTGAAATGAATTATATATATAAAAATAGAGAACCAATTATAAAATAAATAAGACACATTTATTAAATTTTTTGCAATATTTTTATATATCACGACCTTTGATATATTTTTAGTTAAGCGTAGCTCAATTTTGTAAAATTAATTAAAATCCTTATAGAATATATACAATATTGACAAGCCTCAAAATATAAGAAACACATTAATTAAATAATTCAAAAGTAGTTATTTTGTCGAGATTATTTTTCATTTCTTTTATTATGAGAAGTTATAACAATTTCTTATTTACAAATTCTCACAAGCGTGACAATTTGCTCACACAAGGGCATCCCGTCGCAAGAACTATCAACCCAGTCCCTCTATTTCGCTTGGCACTATACTATGAAGTTTATATATTTTGGCTTTTATAGGAGAAGCTCTTCGCTACTCTTTCCAGTCTACGTTGCTCCATAAGAATACAATGAAAGAATAAAATTTCACCACGATGTATTTCCGCTTTTATTTCGTAACAACAATTGTCGCGGAATAGTATAACTCTGAAATTGAAATCGATTATTTTTTCCATTTGTATAAATAACAAAGTAATTTATTCGACTCTATCTGTCTTACAGTGAAGATATATATAAAACAATAAAGCTAATATGTATGATGATAAAAAGACGAAAAAGAGAAATGCTCGATTAAAAAAAGACATGTGACATAAATATGCTAATCTCCATCATAAAATTTCAACTAGACGAACATAATAAATCTAATTTGCAAATTTCTTTGTTCGTGCGCGTTCATGTTCTCTACGATATAAATATGGTAATAGCAACCATAAAGTTTCAAATAGGCTCTCAATCACTCCGGAACTTCAATATCATGTCTTTTTTTGAGTTCAATTCATCCTTCGACAACTTGTGACTTATCGGTTGTCTACAAGGACTTGAATAAAGAAGAAAAAACAAAAAGAAACATAAATCATAATTTGTGTCAAGATAGTCGCTAACATTGTTCGAAAAAATCATCTAATAGATATAAGACCCTGGTTACGTATATTAGGACGTCAGAATTTATAAAGTGTGATATTTGAAATCGAGCAGGACACGTGCGTGCGTAAATCGAATTAGATGCTTTAGCAATGAAAAAGTTTTCAGAAGCTCTATCGCTAGTAAGGAATATTACTCTGATGTGGTTTTCCGATGTGAAATTTTGATGAAAATGCACAAACATATACGCGAGTTGTTCGCATTCCCATTGATTAAACTTTTAGTAACTAATGTTTGCAATGAAATTATTCGCATGTGGTTTAACAAAAGCTCGTCGAAATGCATCGAATTTGAAAATTCATGGAATAATATTGCTACTATTTTCATGTTACATTATAATTTTTTATTCCTACGTATGGTAAAAAGCTACATTTACATATTATGAAATTTTTTAAAGGAAAGATACATGAACGTTATCATAAAACTTTAAATACTCCATCAAACATGAAAATATAATTTCTTATATCATATAAAAAATGTTAATTATATAATTTAAATAATTTAAATATTTTTAATGTTATATTATATATATATAATATAAAAAGTGATATATAATATAAAAAAGTTTACGTATGAGTATGTGTTTCTGAAATACTAATCTTTTACGTTTGTATATAAAATATAAAAAAATATTTGCTGTATGTTAAAATATCTTCTACGCAAAACAAAATTCTAAATTAATTAAAGGAGTTAATGTATTACATAAATCAATGTAGATATTACTGTCATTCAACAGCGTAAATCAACGCTAAGTAAATACAGGAAACTGGAAAGACCAATTTACCAGTGAGCGTTAGTTTAATGGGAATGTTTCGGAACCATCAATATCTTGTAACGCCCCCAAAGAAGCGAATGTTTAATGTTTAATGCAACTTGGCAGTCTTGATGTTCAATAACTCAAATTTGCTGACTAAGAGTTGCTAAGTTGTTGAGAAGACGAAGTTTGTTACCAACAAAATATGTGCTACACTTTAGAGTATCGTAAACAGGAAGTTATTTATTTAAAATAGAACAAATTATATTTATTCGAATTTTTTGATCAAATAAGAAATTAGTTTCTATCGGAAACATAGTTCAATTAGAAGAAATAGAAAAAAGTAAAATATAATAACTCTACATCTATTATAAAAAAATATCACACTTTCTTATTATAATAATGTAAATTTATATTACTACTAATTTATATTACCAATTTATCTGTATTGTTCTCAAATTAATAAATTTAGGCTATTTATGAAACATTAACTAATAAAAAGAAAACAACAAAAAATATTATATTTCGAATTTAATTAAAATTATTATTTTTCAATTTATTCAAATATTATTAAATTATTTTTTTTCAAGACGCTTTTATCAACAAAAAATTTTAAAAAATATTATATTTGTTTTATTTTTATAAAAAAATTATTATTATGAAGTAAAAAATAATATCACAAATCAAACGAAAGAAGTTTCTGCAGCGTAGTTTGATTTATTTTATAATCAATATCTTCAATATTTTTACTATTATTCTTATCTTTCTATATTATTCTTTTGATGTACTGAGAACTTTTTATATAAGTATCGTAAAGCAATAATCCTACGAGATTTGCCATTCTAATTTTGAATTGTATATCAATATCTCCTAGTATTGTATCGAGTTTACAAATTCAATCCAATATAACCGAGGAAGACACCTATATCTCCCGCAGGAATTACCCGCGGGCATGCATTCGTCACATGAGTGTGCATGTATTCCATTAAAAAATAATTAAAGAGACTATCGGTTTGCATTAACAGTATATTATTCGCGATATTAATTACTGATATAAAGCCTTTGTTCCCTGAATCAATGTTTTATTTTATTTTTGATTACGCATATGGAAATATAAATCATCGCAGGAAACATAGTATTGTTTATAATTGAATAAAAAAATATGTTTAAAATCGATAAGCTAATTTTTAACTATAAAGGATGTTGAAATATTGTTTTAAAAAATTGCTCGAATAATATACCAATCTATTGTATATATTATTTTTTCTATAGATTATCAATAATTGTATTATTATATAATTACATAGCAATTTATATATATTTGGATCTACAAGTATTATATTTAAATTATATTAGTTGTTAAATGCATAATTTTGTCGTTAAATCAAAGTTAAATTGAATTAATTTTTAGTCTGAAGTTACAGTATTCTTAAATAAGTAAGAATATTGATAACGTTGGCAAAGAAGGTTTTCTCATTTACATGGAATAATTTTTGCAATAAACACTTCCAATGATGCAATTTACGTATAATTAAGACGAAACAAACGCGAAAAATTCAACTCTAATGTGTAATTCTAATTATTTTAAATTTTAGTAATTTGTTGATTTTTTCAAGAAGCAATTATTCTAGTAATTATGCGTATACATTAAATTAATTAATTTTTTTACAAATATTTATTATATATTTTGACTTTTGACTATATTTTGGCTTTTAATATTTTTATTGCAAAACATTAAATCTCACTCTCCTTAACAGACTTTTAAAAGCTTTTTCATCTTTTAGAGAAAACTAAGAAAGTTTTCTTTATAAATAGAGTCTTTGAAGAAAATAGAAATACGAGATATAAGAGAAGAATTTAAGACATTAAAAAAGTGTATAATTTTCTCTTTTTAAAAAAAATCTTAAATATTGATAAAGTCTAGATAAAGTGTGCTTATGTCATTTAAATATATATTAAATTTAAAACATCATAAAACATATACATCATAAAATTAAGTATTTCCAATCTGTATATTTTGTAATATCCACATTAATGATATTCATATATAAATTTACCTAAATTAACCTTTTTTATTTAAATAAGCTATATTAGAAATTATATATGATTATATATAATATAGAAATTATAAATAATTATATATAATTTAGTAAACGAATGAATGAAATCTTTTTCTATGTAGTAATTGTGATATGGAAAATACGTCTCATGAATAAATATATATGAATACTGTCAATTATATAATTTGTGTAAATGGAAAGAAAAAGAGAAAGAGAAAGAGAGAAAGAGAGAGAGAGAGAGAGAGAGAGAGAGAGAGAGAGAGAGAGAGAAAATCGAGTGACGTCAATCTCGAACTGAAAAACGGAATGTTAGCAATAGAAATTCGTTATTTATCTCGACATATCTCGCAAGTCGAGGTGATTTATACGACAAACGCGTCGTAGAATAACATTTTCAGGCGAAAGGGATGAAAGATCAAGGATTCAGAACTTTGACCCGACGAGAAATTTGTCAAGACATACATTATCT